CTGACCTCTTCTGAAACACAGTGTCTAATTTGGCATTTAATAATACAGATTTTGTCTTATTCATATTTTTATGCATGTCATAAACTCATTTTCTGGATACTTTTCTACCAAAACATGATTAGTCAGCAATTAATAAGATCAATAATAAGTAACTAATAAAGAATTTGGAAGAGGTAGCCATGATGGTCTGTGCTAACATATCAAACTATAGCAGTTAGTCTTGAAGGTGCCACAACATTTTTGTCTTCTTTATTTTTTATTTTCATTTCGGTTTGGGCCTGATATAATAAAGGAGTGTAACTTTTTTTAGATGAGAGATACAGTTTGTACTTTTTACAATGAAATTAGTCTTTTCTCACTAATAAGAAATTTAGTTTGCATGCTTTGATTCATACTATGAAATAAACGCATGGTTAGGTGGTTGGGAACAACAGTGAAAAGTAATAAAAATCTTAAGGAGAGTCCTGCCACATTTCCATTTATCTTCTCAGATTTGAGATCAAATAATACCCACAATGATACTGCTGTGCCTAATCAGCAGGAAAGAAGGGTTAATTAGAAGCAAAAAGGTATCATTTAGAAGAAGATCAAGTAATGTGTAATACCTCAGAAATTGCTGGACTGCAGCTCGAATCAGCCCTTACTGGCTATCCAGGTTAGAACTGATGGGAGCCAAACACTGTAGGGTCCCATACTTCCTACCCATATTACACAGAGTAGAACTCTAATTCAAATAATGAAAAACATCAAGGGTGTCTAGTTGACAAGTTAAATACACACATGTAACTTGCAATTGTATTCTAAAAAGATATACTGTATATTTTAGATTGGTTTCTAAAGCACTTCATGAAGCAGAAAGAATTCAGATCTTCACAATCCTGTGGTGAAGCACAACATGATGAAATATTAGTGAGGAAATATAGAAGATATTTACTTCTGTGTTCCCACACCATGACCCATAGATTTTAATTACAGATAAAATTGTAAGAAGGCAGTAAGCCCATCATGACCATACAGGGCACCAATATAAAAGGGGTGAGGGAATGCAACAGAAGTTGTTCCAGTAACTTCCTTCTCTATAGGTATGGAACAAGTACCTTGAGTCTTCTGGCAAGTAATGCTATGCCAATTCTAGCAGACCCCTGAAACTAAGATGATGTTCTGAGAAACATTAATATATGTAGCATGGACTATCAAGATCTTCTAGGCATCGGTTAAAAATAGCTTTGGCAAGAATCTACTTGGCAAGTGAATAATTTGAGCTTGCTTAGCATTTCCATACTTTCCTCACTGATGAAATCAAGACAACAAATCAGACCACCTAGGGACAAACTTTATTATCATACACACTGCTATTGTGTGAGCAGGTGTTCTAGAATTCTCCACACCCACATATCCGGATTGGGGCTACAGTTAGGAGGGGCATGCTAAGGCCTCTTCCCCCTCCCTTCTAGGATTCCAATTCAGATTATGTTCCTCTTTATTATTCACTCTAAAATTAAAACAAAACAAAACAAAACAAACCCAGCTAATTTGGCCCCTAGATCCCTGAAGTAGTTCATCATAGCAGTTCCTCTTCTTATTTCTAAATCACAAATGCTGTACATTACATGAGAAGAAAGAAAATACAGCTCTGTACAAAAGTGCTGGAGAAATGCCAGCAAACAGGGTACGATTCCCAGATCAGCATGCCAGTTTCTATTATTTTCAAAACAAAAATATTGGACAATATGTTGGAAAGAAAAGAATAAAGCCAATCTGTGCAAACCTTTTGGGAAAAGAATAGCAAATGGGAGCGATAGCTTTAGCCCCTATAAGTTTTTGTTTGCTTGTTTTTTGTCTATCTACATATATCTGCATCACTGTGTGGGAGACTGTTGGTGTTAATGTGCATATACACCGGGTGTTGTCTCAAACTCACTCACTGCTGCAGCCATAAATATAAACTGCTAATTAAATGAGATGAAAAGACCACCAGAACAGACATACCTGTGACTCAAATACTCCTACTGTGAAGATCTTTCTTGCAGGAACCCTGCTAAGTTTATGTGGAAGCTTAATACATGTACTGTATTACATTTTTCTAGGAATGTATCATTCATTAGTGAGGACCTAGAATCTATACTGAGAAGTTTACAGTCCTGGGTTGCAATCCTATGAATATTTACATGAAAGAAATCTTACTGAACACAGGGGATACGTCTGCATACGTCTGCATGACACTGTGCTCTCATTATACTTCATAATAATCACAGTTGAATAGGAACAAAAAGCCAAACACTTATCAGGAAATGTTTAACATAATTGGCCACACATGATTTTTTATCAATGCACGATTAAATCAGCCCTCTTGATCTAGATAGAATGTTTTATTCAAACATTGTTGATGTGGCAAACGGCTATGATTATATGAGAAAAATGAAACTCTTAAATTAGCCACTCACATAATTAAACTATCTCACATACGTATGATTTCTCAGACATCTGGTACTAAATTCCTTCACTTTATTTTAGAAACATTGACCCTGTGAGAATATCAGTTTTTTTTCCTTATATGCACCATAACAGTTGGCTGTGCTTTTCTTTAGGTGACTCTAATATAATGACAGTCATGATCCAAGATCTTTGTTTTGAATTTCACAGTTCAACAGAATACTGAGCATCCCTAAATCCTATTGCCTTCAATAGGACAACAGGACCTAACTTGCATTTTTTTCTGGATGAAGACCCAAGAAATGATAAAGTCAATGCACAATGCAGATGTCATTGTGGGTTTACACCATATGAGCATCCTTTTATATTTCCTGGTGTCTGAGTACGATTTCAGTCAGCTTGCTCATGCTCATTTTCATATAATTTCTGCTGGCTCAATCTTGCCATTCTTGTTTTTTTTTCTTGAGTTATTTCTTATTTTATTGGTTGCAAGTCACCCTTATATGTATATCTAACATATATGAAGGTCGGAAATAAAAAAAAACAGTAAATATCATGCAGATAAATATACTAAAAATTGAATGGGAACTGGAACAGATGGCAATTTTGTGTAGAACCTCAATGACCAAAGTTTGTTTGGGATGAGGTCACTTTGGGCTACTGTGCACTCCGCTGCCACACCAAGTGTGGGGTTGAGGAGCAAACCCTCCTCCGTTCTCCTATCCATAGGCTCCAGACCGTCTGGCACTTCAGCAACAGGGTTTATTGAGACAGTGGAACAGGGCATAACAACCCTTGGACTGGGAGTTCTCTCCACTCCTGGGAGTTTCAAAGAGGACAGAATCGTCAGCATTTGCCCTGGGTTTACTCAGTCCTTTCTGGATCCTGAGTTAACTCCAGTGCAGTCTTTGAGTCTTTGGCTACTATTGGGGAAGGCTTTAAAGAAGGACCAAAGGTGGCCGCTTGGAGTAGGAGGACTTATATAAATCCAAGCTCCAGCTCCAGTCTGCACCTCCCTGGGGCCAACTGCTGTTGCAGGTGTGGCTGCTGCTGCTGGGGGCGGAGTAGATGCTCCCCTTGCCTCTACTGCCTCCAGCATTTCCTCTGGGGGTTGTAGGGCCCAACTGGCCCTCCTTGGGATGTGGGCACCAGCAGTAGTTGCAGTACGGTGGCATGAAGCAGGGGACAGGGTCAAGCACCCCAAGCCCTGTGCCTTGCTCATTAGGGAGTCAAAACTTGGTACAGGTCCTCCTAGTATGTATAGTCTCTGATCTCCTCCATAAGCAATATCTCTTCTGGCTCTCTCGGACATCTCCCCACGCACCTTCCTCCTCTGTCTCTGAGTTGTCTGTTTCCTCTGCCTTGATGGTGCTAAGTGCTCCTCATTTCTCCCTCACTGTCTTCTAAGACCCCCTTTATGGCCCTCAGATTGTGCCTCCCTTTTATTCTTTCTCCTGGTGACTTCCATCCACCATAGCCTCCTCTCCGTCCTGGGCTGGTCAACCCTGTTCAGCACCTGCCTCAAACCCAGCAGTAGCTCATTTTGTACATTCAGACTGAGTATATGAGGCAGAAGCTGATGGCTCACCAGGGCACCAGTGGTGCCCCCCCCGACAGATATGCACTGTTTTTTTATAATGTGATGGCTTTAAAAAATATATAGCAGCCACCATCTCTAGCTCGCCTTATTCCTCTTCACTCCCACTCTATAAGTCAACCTTTGTCATGGAAAATTATTTGACCTGGATAACTACATTTGCCCTTCGCAAGGCCTTCACCGCTCTACGTTTTCAATGTATGCCTTCAAGAGTGTTAGAGGGCAGACACGAGAATCTGCCCTATCATCTAAGAATTTGTCCTTGCCACCTGGGAGAAGTCGAAGACATCACTCACTACCTTTTGAGATGTCCACATTACCACTCCCCTCGATCAAGGTTTTTGGCAAGTTCTCTGACTTCCATCCAAGACAGACCTAATCTCGCCCAGGTCTGTTGGCTCCTGGCTGACATCAACGCCAATACCACCTTAAACGTGGCAAACTTTGCCTTGGCTGCAATTAACATCCGAGCTCGCTTGTTTCCTGTACCTTTGTCTTTTTGATTCCTATTTACGTCTCATTGTATTTGCTTTTTAATTAATTATCTCACCTGCTGCTTTTATTTTATTTTAACGTATTTTAATGACTTATAGTTGATAAATAAACTCTGCTCTCTTTATACCTTATAGCAGCCAAAATCCTGTTGCTTGGTCCATGAGAGCAAATGCCTATGGTGATTTTTTAACTTGCAGCAATTCACCAATAACATTTATGCTGACTCTTTGTTATGCCAGAGGGTGTAAACGATAGGATTTCAGCCACCATCTTAGAATGGTTCCAGAAACTAAATATCACTACTGCAGTACCAAATGAAAATGTTTCCCTTTTCCATACATATGAAGAAATGGAACCAACATTCTGTACCTCAATCTATGATACAGAAACCCCAATCATTATAAAATGGAGGCGCACACCACATAGAAGTATATAAAGTATGAAAAGCATCAGAACAACATTGAAAAGCTCTTACCTTTCAGAAAAAAATCTTCTAATTTATCCTTGAAGGGCTGTAGGTGTTCTTCGGATGAGTCTCTAAAAACCACTTTCATCTGTTTTTCACAAACTGCAAGAACAAGATCAGCGTTACATACATATAGTTTTTAAAAATATTTCTTTATAAGGAGTAGAATAATATTCAAAATAATGGAGGATCATACTGTATCTTTTCTTGTAGAAATAAACAATTATATGAAAGCAGAGATCTGTCTTTCATCAGAACTGTTGAGTGTTTAGATTCTTTGAAACAATATGGGAAATAATGCTTTAAAAAGAGCAACGTTCCTGTCGTCGGGGGAGTCGCTGGTAACATCTGCCGTCCCCAGGCAAAAAATACAATTAAAATTGCCATCATTAAGACCCACAGCTAATGTTATTTCAATTAAAAGCCTTCTGGAACAGGAAGGTTTTGACCTGGCGTCGAAATATCATCAGTGTCGGCGCCAGGCGAATTTCAGTTGGGAGGGCGTTCCATAGTCTGGGGGCAGCTGCCGAGAAGGCCCTTTGTCTACAAGCCATCCCTCTTACCTCCTTGAGGGATGGCTCTTTCAAAAGGGCCCCCTGGCTAGATCTTAACAGCCTGGTAGGCTCATATGGAAGGAGGCGGTCCTTCAAGTATCCATTATGGGAAATAATGCTTTAAAAATAGGGGTTCTACTGACCCACATCAAATACACTTTCGACAAAAAGAACAGTCATTAAGTTACTGGATCTGTCATACACAAACTACTGACAATCTGGCCTTTCTAACCCACACCGAACTACAGCACCATTATACCGCATTGGTTCCCATGTAGGTACTCATGTAGACGTATTAGGTCTACTCTAAGGAAAGGAAAGTCAGTAGTCTGACTGATTTAATGGAGTTTGTTCACAGACCTAATAAACAGAAAATATTTAATGAGAGTTAAATCAACACATGCTTGAAGAAGGCTGATAGGCTGAAATGTGTTGGGCATTTTATACTGGAATAACGAACATTATATTTTCTACATCCTGCGAAACACAGTTTTCTCCAACCTTTGCCTTAATATCTTAGTGGATGTATCAGTTCCTTTCATTATTTACCCACACAGTAGTGTCTACACGGGAAACAGTGTGGTGTCATGGAACGAGTGATGGAATAGGAGTCAGGAGATCTGGGTTCAAATTCCCCCTTAGCCATGGAAACTCACTGGGAGATTGTCACTAAATATTGCACATCCTTAGAAAACCCTATTACAGCTGCGATTATGATTTGATGGCAGAGAACACCACCAACACATGATTCAAAGAACACTTTTGCAAAACAAACCAGATGGCTCAAGCACTACTGGAAAACCATTCTGAATCATTTGAGAGTTATGATTGCATTGCTTTTTCTGATTTAACAAGATCCTGGCTGCAGTCCTGGACACATTTTGTCTCAATAAATTCAGTAAGCATTTTTACCAAGCAGTGTTTTCATAAACAGAAAGGTAAGCAAGATCTCTTTCTTACATAATTTACAGCCTCCCATGCTGATCCTATGTCCATGTACCTAGAAAACTGCCTTGTTGGTTTACAGAGGAGTACTTGTGTTATTCTGTAGTCTGCTGTTGCACAAATACGTAAGAGTCCAGTGGCATCTTAAAGCAGTGGTCCTCTGCCTTGAGCCCCAGATGTTCTTGGATTGCAACTCCCAGAAATCCTGATCAACACAGTTAGTGGTGAAGACTTCTGCAAGTTTTAGTCCAAGAACACCTGGGGACCCAAGGTTGGGTTAAACTTAAAGTTTAACAAGTCCCTCGCTTTCCCTGGCTTATGCATTCATCAACTGTATTCCAGTCTTTCACAGATGAACAAACAGACTCCACTCAACAATGCTTATGCCAAATAAAATGTATTACTCTGTAAGGTGCCACAAAACTTTGTTTTTTTAAAATTTTATTTGCATGGATGTTTAGGGGAATAGAGGTGAAGAAACATGTTTTCACTAATTTGTTAACGTATTAAAATTATAAATTGTTCCTCATTACAAGAGAAGTCTTAAAGCAACTTGCAAAAGAAATCATGTAATGCTTTCAATATAACAGGGAAATATAAATATAATGCATAATCAATATACCAAGTTATTAGAACTATATATACACTGTATTTATTAAAACTGAAATTTATAAACTGTTGTATCCTACAAAGCTTGGGATTTCACATAATGAACAGGAACAAAAAATAATCCATTAAAGCAAATCCATCTTCTCCCATTTGTTACATCGATGTATTTTCTTCGAGTCAGAGCAGCACTGGCAATGTGCAGCTTGCCTTCTTATTGGTTTGGCATACACAGGTTGCATGCTGTGATGGATCGGTGTAACGTAGCAGGCCACTCTGATGTCACTGCCAACTCAGGCCTCTCAGAATGCCCACCACACTACTTCACACTCGCTGCCACCAATTGTAATGACTATTTAAGAAGGACAAAGGTTTCCTTCAAAACAAAACAGGTTTATTGAAAATAACAACATAAAATATGTAAATCACAAGTAGCTAATCACGATGTCAATCACTGTTTCTTATTTAATCAATCACAGACTTTCTCTCACTGAATACGTAGGCACACAGGCCTCTAAACAAGCTCTTTCTCTCTCACACTCCAGATCTGATCTTTTCCCCCACACTTCACACCCCTTTTCTTCCAACTCCTCCCCCTCCAGCTCCACCCTCCATCACCCCATTGGCTGATGATCCACTGTTCAGCTGTGATGGACAGGTGGGGTCAGGGCTGCCTGTTACAATCGGAAACACAAACAGGCACCTAGGAAAACCACGCTCAAGATGGAGAGCAAGCCAAAACGGCCGATGAAGAAGGTGGCCACAGTCTTAAATATCTATAGCTGGATGTGGCAACTCACAAGCACGAGGGAAAAGCAGCAGAGCTAGTGTGGTGATCACAAAGAAAACTAGAACAGAAAACCTCTATCATGCTAAACATCAGTGCTCCCACCAGGACAAATAGAAGCAGCCTGTGTATATAAAGCCTTATTCACACAGCCGAGAAAACATATTTTAAATCTCCAGAGTCTTCTTATTTATAATCACCAAACTAGAAGAAACACTACAAGAGCAGATTTTAAGCATCCAGTGCCTGTGAAAATAACTATCTTTGCCAGGCACTGAAAGGATAGCAATGTTAAAGTACAGATCTTCCATGGAGACAGAATTCCATAGTCCCAGGGACTACAGAAAAGGGCTTCAGTTGTCTGACTAGATTAATATAGGGAATGCTAGTCCTTGAGGTATTGAGGTTCTGAGCTGTGCAAACCTTTACAGATCAAAACTAGCACTTTGGATTTGATCTGCAAAAAGATTTAGAATTCTGTCAGGACTGGACATACTAAGATCCAAAGAATAAAAGCAGATCACATGGTTTACACATCCTAAAAAGAGTTTGTCATCATTACATATAATTCCTGCACCAGAATTATATTTGAAGAATGGCAATGGAGTAATGAAACGAAGATGTAGGGATTTAAAGAAAAATATTTAAATAAGAAAGCCAGTTCAATAGGAGATAACGATAAGAGTGATTTGTAATACTGCTCCAATCTTTATTTGGCCATAATGAGAAGGTTTTATAACCTCTTCTAAACTCACCTACAGCACTATGGGCTGAAAATATGTGAAGGAATACATAGAACGGGGAAGTTTCTGGCAAGTCAGTGATAATCCAGGTAATATTTGTCTTAATTAGTTCTAATGCATGTGAAAAGTATTTAGAGATAAATGGAAGATAGGCACTTAGCTCTGGTTATATGGGCAGTAATGTGAGAAAGAACTCAAAGAGAGTGATAAGTGCCTGGATAAGGGTTTTAAATTTGTGTAACTTTATATATTTCAGAGTTGGGAGTATGATTTTCAGTGAACAGGTCCCTATTCGCATAAACCTATAATTACTTGGGGGAATACTACAGATAGAATCTCTGCAGCTATTTTTGTAAAATGGAGATTATGCATAGTTTTGTGGACCTGGAGATTTAATAATACCTACCCAAGGGACATTCAATTGAGATTTTAAATAATTTAAAATAAAAAAAATATTCTGTGTACTCTTTACAAAAGTTGTACATTTTTATGGCCTGAATCCAGCTCATAGTCTTATCTATATTAGACCTGCGGAATCAGTTGCTGAATGGAAGTAAATACTTTTGTAAATCCCACTGAGAGTGCCAAATCCTATTAGACACACCTTGTTTTATGTAATTGGTGGCAGAGGCACTTCACAAGCATTCAAGTAGCTTTTCTCTTGCATGACTTCCTCAGAATTCTAATCAAACCCCACTCTTGCTACTTTTAGAAACTGCGGAGATACTTTTTAAAAAATTAGCTTGTACAGTAATATTGTTTAATTTATTGAGACAATTTTTGTCGATTTAACTGATTTTGAATTCGCGAAGGCTTTCACGGCCGGGATCTAATGGTTGTTGTGGGTTTTTCGGGCTCTTTGGCCATATTCTGAAGGTTGTTCTTCCTGACGTTTCGCCAGTCTCTGTGGCTGGCATCTTCAGAGGACAGGAGTAGCACCAGAGCACAGAGTTCTGACTCCTGTCCTCTGAATATGCCGGCCACAGAGACTGGCGAAACGTTAGGAAGAACAACCTTCATTCAGAACAGCACCAAAGAGCCAGAAAAAAACCCACAATAACCATTAACTGATTTTAATGGTTTTTATGGTTGTGTTGTGTTTTATTTTATTTCAATAACTATATGGTTGAATTTGTTTTTACTGACTAGGATCCTGTTGTTGAAACAGAGTAAAAGGCTGGGATCCAGACTTACCTGAGGATCCCAAGTTGTGGCTGGAGCAGTGACCTGGTCTGGCAGAGGCAACACGTTTGGTTTCCCAGCATAACTGGTTCATGTGTCCAGTGCAAGGGACACTAGGAGACTGACTGTTAGGCTAGATTGTAGCAGTGCAAGCCCATCCAGTTCTCAGTTGCCTTTCCCTCCCAGCTATGCCCTGGGTGGCAAGCAGCCATGAAATGGTGTATCCCCATGTGGTCTGGGGGGGCAGTGGCTTATATTGGGGGGTATTTGGATTTCCTGAACTGG